ATGATCCTGATAGACAAGCAGGTGATAACCAATCAACCAGACATCATGATAGTAGAAGGACCAGAAGACAGTCATGGTCCAGATAAACAGGCAGGTGGCAGCCAATCAACTAGACATCTTGGTAGTAGAAGGACCAGCGGACAGTGGTGGTCCAGATAGACAGGCAGATGTTAGCCAATCATCCAGACACTATAGTAATAGAAGGACCAGAAGACAGCGTTGATCCAGGCAGGTGCTAGCCAATCAACCTGACATCTTGATAGTAGACAAGGGCCAGAGGACAGGTGGTAGCCAATCAACCAGATACCGTGGTAGGAGAAGGACCAAAAAGACAGTGGTGGTAATAGTTGAAGAAGTGCCAAGTGAGAGCAAGATCAGGAAGAAGAAGGGTGAGAAGCTGGAGAAGTAGCAGAACCTGAAGGAGGATCTGGAGAGGTTGTGGAAAGTCAGAGCCAAAGTGGTCACAGGGGTGGTAGGAATCCTTGGGGCTGGGACTCCCAACAGAACCCAGGAACAACATCAGATCTCTCTTTCCATAAATGTACAGTGCTAGGAAAAGCTAAGATCCTGCCCAGAACCCCCAAACACCCGAGCCACTGGTAGAAGACCAAGATTGAGGAAAACATAGAATAACCACAAGAGCTAGAAGGGATTGTTTTATCTATATCTCTATATCTCTATATCTCTATCTCTCTATATCTATATCTATATCTATCTCTCTATCTCTATCTCTCTGTCTCTATATCTATATCTATATCTATATCTATATCTCTATATCTCTCTATCTCTCTATCTCTACATCTACATCTCTCTCTCTGTCTCTATATCTATATCTGTATCTGTATCTATATCTATATCTATCTCTCTATCTCTATCTCTCTATCTCTCTCTCTATCTCTACATCTACATCTACATCTCTTTCTCTCTCTATATATATATCTATCTATGTACGTATACACACACACACACACACACACACACACACACAAATATATATATATATATATATATTGCCTTCTTCTCCAGATTTTGAAGCTCCTCATTGTGGCCTGGGAACGCCGGCTCATCTTCACCATCGGGACCTCGAACACGACGGGTGAATCGGACACTGTGGTGTGGAATGAGATCCACCACAAGACCGAATTTGGCTCCAACCTCACTGGCCATGGCTACCCTGACCCAAACTATCTGGACAATGTCCTGGCTGAACTGATGGCCCAGGGGGTCTTGGAAGCCAACCTGAAGGACTGAGAAGATGGGGGGGGTTTTTGGCCTCCCTCCACCCAATGTTCCTCCTGCCTCCACGTCGTCATGCGCAGCTCAAGCACTGCCTGTCCTCTCCTCCATCTGTCCGTCCGTGTCCGTGTTCGCTTGGTGAGGCAAGCCGTGTTTGGGATGGTTCTTTCCACCTTCCCAAGTCGCTTTGACTAGCTTGACTTCCACCCAAGGAGGATACAGGGGGCTTTCCTCCACCCCTGGCAGGATTCACAAGATGATCCCGGGGTTTCCTCCCCAGAGAAACAATCAGAAGCTTTGTAGAGTTGAGCGACCCATGCAAGCTTTCTGCTCTGCACTTCTTTTTTCTACATGTGTGTATAATTCTTCGCCATTCCCAGGGGCTCGAAGCTCGCTGCTCCGAACCGCCCATCTCACAACTCAAATCTTACAGCCAGGTTGTCCTGCCTCCTTCTGCCTCTCTTCGTCGCTTGTTCTCGGGTGCCTTTGTGGCTCTGCCCAGAGAAGCAGTAAAAAAAGAAGATCCAACTTGGTCATCCAAGGAAGGCAGGCATTGTGACTTCACAGCGGGCAGAGTGTAGTTAACCAGCTTTGTCCTCTGCCTTCCATGCAAAATTTTAAATGGCCCCATCCTCCCCACACCCATCACTTTGGCTGTGTTCCACCACCACCCCAGCCTCATTTCACGGATCAAATGCAAAGTTTGCCCTCTAGTTCAGAGGTTCCCCCAAATCCCGGTCCATGGACCCAACACCGGTCCGTGGCATGCCAGAAACCGGACCATGCAAACAAGCAAAGCCCCATCCGCAGGATGTAGGCAGCATGCAAAACCACACCGGTCCATGGAGAAACCACTCTTCATGGAACCGGTCCTTGGTGCCCCCAAAGGTTGGTGGGCCATGATGTTTGTTTGTTTTTTTTTTCCCTTAAAAATATATATTGCAAGTTAGGGGAGGTTTTTCTAAGCGGAACGACGGTTGGTGAAAATTGGAGAGCCCGCCAGAGCTTCTCCTTCCCCCTGATCCACCCAGATTCTCTTGTGTTAGCTGTTTATTTAACAAACCCCAAGTACGTGTTGCAGGATTAAATCGGATGCTCGAGGTCCTTTATATCCCACCACCGTTCTTGAACAGACAAGGCCTTTCTGACTGTTGGTCTTACGTCATCTTCTTGTCATCTCCCCAAAACACCCGAATACACTGTTTGGGACCTGTGTTCTGGACCACTTGGGTGGTGACGGAAGAAAGGCTGATTCCTTTCTTCCTGCGACATCAAATGTCTGCGTCCCTTTCCCTATTCTACTTTTTTGGGCCCGTCGTTGACAATGGAGATACCCTAGAAGAACAATTCTCCTCCTAAAGGGCCTTTAGAGTCTTGAAAGTATTGATCCATTGGGAGATCTGGGGTCAATTGCTCCCATTGCTCTGCCACTCCTGAAAAAGACCAGGCTCCAGCCAATAAGATGCCACCTTCTGTCTCCCCCTTGCTTGACATCAGGGGTAGGATTCAGCTGGTACAGACCGGTTCGGGCAAACCAGTAGTTCCGGCGATTAGTTGGCCACACCCACCTGTGCCCATCCTATATTTCCATGTTTTATTCACTGAGGCTGCAGCAGAAGGTAAGTTTTAGACCTGAACATGGGTGATTTTGAAATGCTGTGCGCGCACAGCTCACCGACCCGGTTGTTACACTAGTTGAATCCCACCACCGCTTGACATCCGTGTGACCTATGTTGACATCTGTTTCTCCTATGTTGAAAGATGAAAAAAAAAAAAGGCGATGTCCATTTCTGGTTTTTTGCAAACCGTACAACAGCCTGGATCAGTTCTGGAGATGAGATGATGAGGTCCCTCTTGGGCCAGTGCCGGCAAACTTTCTATCCCCCACAATCTTTATGTAGCATGTTCAATTATCCAGATGTGAGGGCAAACCTGGGACAAGTTGCCCAGTTGGATGGAAATAAACTTTTACAGGAGAAAATGTAATTTCTATACACAGCTTTGGTCCATATCAAGCAGATGCAATAACAACAACGACAACAACAATAAAAAAAATGGGACGAAACAGAGCAAAAATGTGATTGGCCGTGGTGTCACCAGTGCAGGGTTGCACTGTCAGCAAACATCATTAGAAGCTCCAGAAGGCCCCAAATTCTTCAGATCTTATTATTTTGAATCTATGCACAGTCACCCAAAGCAGGAACAAGCAGATTTAGGATTTTACTGGACAGGACGTCTTTAAGAGTTGTTATTTCTCCAGCATAAAATTATGGGGTTACAAATTGGGGAAGGTTGCACCAATTCTTGAAACCAGGTGGCCTAGAAAAGAGATCCATGTCGGTAAAGGTTGTGTCCGACTCAATACACGTCTCCATTTCCTAGCCAAGGGAGCCATCGTTGTCCAAAGACAACCCTAACCCTACTAGAGGTATCTGATAGGTACATTTCTGGACACCTGGGGGGCATCTTTGCTTTATTGTGTTACAAATGGAGGCTAAAACATAGGGTGAAGGATGGCAGGAACTGGGTATGTTTAGTGAGGAGAAGAATTAGGGGTGAAAGGATAGCACTCACCAAGGGAGCAACTTACTGTGGTTCCAACTCGCTGTGGGACAATTCAACAATTCAGTTATTTAAAATGATTTAAGAGTTATTTTGGAGAATAAGTTGAGCCCTCTTTTCTTTGTGGCATCCCCTCAAACATTGCAACACTGCACTCATGTCTCCCCTCGTCCTTCTTTTCACTTTGAATTGAATTTTTGAGCAGAAACTGGCCATCAGCAACACCGGAAGCAGCCTTCTGTCTGTGAAAATTCTCCATCATCCAGGTCATGGTTGTCCCAAAGGTGCTTCCCCCCCCCCCCCCCAAAAAAGAGGCAACTAGACTTTCTTGTCTTTTGTGGAAGACATTTCGCTTCTCATTTAAGAAGCTTCTTCAGCTCTGACTGGATGGTGGCGAAGGGAAGGATTTCTACTCCTTGAGGACAGCTGGTTATTTGCATCCTTTTAGAGGGTTGTTGAGGCCACTTGGAGGTTTGTCTGTGTCCTCAGGTCACCTGAGTGATGCAAATGGGTGTGGAGTCTTCTCGGAACTGCTGAAGGCTCCCCATCCATTGTGCTCTACTCAAGTGATTCTGAGGATACAGATAAACCTCCAAGTGGCCTCAACGACCCTCTAAAAGGATGCAAATGACCAGCTGTCTGCAAGGAGTATCAATCCTTCCATTCCCCACCATCAGTCAGAAGGCTCCACACCCATTCGCAACACTCAGGTGACTCTAAGGACACCAACAAACCCCCAAGTGGCCTCAACGACCCTCTAAAAGGATGCAAATGACCAGCTGTCTGCAAGGAGTATCAATCCTTCCATTCCCCACCATCCAGTCAGAGCTGAAGAAGCTCCTTGGATGAGAAGCAAAACATCTTCAAAGAAAAACCTGAAAGTCCCCTTGCCACTTGAAAAAAATAAATAAAAATAAGCACCTTTGGGACAAGCATCCTTATGCTGATTCAAAATCCAAGTTTCTCTAACTTGCTGTACTTGCCAGCACAATGATTTATGATCTGGATTGTAAAATTGGAGTCTTTCCTAGCCCTTATTTGGAAGTGACAGGCGCATCCTCTGATGAACCAATTACAATGACTTCCCATTAAGCATTTCATTTTTTTCCCCTTTTTGCAATAAAATTAAATCTTCATAACATTTGGAGAGAAAGATAAGGGGAAATTAGGATGGACATTGGTTTCAACTCTTGGAAAGAAAGGTCACACAGCCCTTCTCTGCCAGGAGATATTTTTTTATTTTGTTTAAATTAAAACCATCTGTTTAACAGAGAGAGAGAAAGAGGAAGAGAGAGAGAGAGGATGCAATGGGCACCAACAGATGTGTCTGCCTCTGGGCCCCTAAACCTAATTTGGTGGCATGCTTCCTTTTATCTGCTGAACTGTTTTGCTAGAGAAAAAAGAACCGAGGATAATCGGGGTGGCTTAGGTTAATTCTTGACATCTCTCACAATCCGTGACAGGACACCGAGGCACTGCACAGATTCACTTCAGAGATCATGGAATTTGAGCAGGGAGCCCACAGGGTGTAGATTAAAAAGTCATAAGGAAGGAAAGGAAGGAAGGAAGGAAGAAGGATGTTGGAGAGAGTAATGAAGGAAGAAGGGAAGGAAGGAGAATGTTGGAGAGAGTAATGAAGGAAGAAGGGAAAGATAGAGGAAGGAAGGAGGGAAGGGAAGGAAGGAAGGAGAATGTTGGAGAGAGTAATGAAGGAAGAAGGGAAGGA